AGTTATCATAAATTACAACTCAATACTTAAATAAGCTATACTATGGAATTAGGTGGAGTAGCCCATTCTGCTCTACCAGACGCAACTTTCTGCAAATTAATGTCCTGGACGGAATTCAGATCAAGTTCTCTCAGTTTTTCGTAAATTCGTCTTCATGTTATGCTTCCCAGCCTCCATAATAAACAAACAAAAGGTATGTTGTATTGTCAAAGCCGGGTTTGGGTATCTCTTGAGTAATGCCATGATGCTGGTCTGGCCAAAACATGATATGGTCATTAGCATGATGTTCGTGGACAAACTGAAGAAATTTGGAAAGGTAGTTATCAATATAGCTCAGACTATTCAAAGCTTCACCCCTTACTCTTCCCACAAAATATTGGGCCTCCAACCTCAACGGATTCCAAAATATAAGCCGTCCAAGTCGGCATAATGGAGTATCGGCCCTACTCAATTTCTGATTTAAGTGGAAGAGTGGCTTCGGTCAATTTCGCTGAATTACTAATATGTTATATGTCTTGGCGTCCTGAATAAATGCCTTAATGAGCACATGCTGCAAGATATAGGCCATCTGGGTCAGTATAATGGAGTAACCAGATCAAGTGAAAGAGTGGTTTCGGTTAATTTTGCCAAGTTCCTCAATATGTTATGTGCCTCGGCATCCTAAGCAAATGCCTCAATATAAAAGGCCCCAAAACTCAACGAGTTCCATAATATAGGACGTAAAAGTCGGAATAATCTATTGGTTATACTGGAATATATGCTTTAAGTGAAAGAGCGGGTTCGATTAATTTTGCTGATTTTTTTATGTTAAATATTTCAATAGTCACATGCCCCCAACCTCAACAGGTCCCAAGATATAGGCCGTCCAAGTCGGCATAATGGAGTATCGGCACTACTCAATACCTGCTTTAAGTGGAAGAGTGGTTTAGGTCAATTTCGTTGAATTACTCATATGTTATGTGTCTTCTCGTCATGACTAAATTCCTCAATAAGCACATGCCCCAAGACACAACGGGTCCCAAGATATAGGCCGTCTGAGTCAGTCCTACTCGAATATCTGCTTCAAGTAAAATAGTGGTCTTAGTTAATTTTCCCAAATTTTTCAATATGTTATGTACCTCGGCATCCTAAACAAATGCCTTGATAGTGACAAGCTCCAAAATTCAGTGTCCCAAGTCGGTATAATGGGATGTCGGATTTACTTAGATATCTGCTCTATCTAGAAGAGTAGTTTCGGTTAATATGATATGAATAATTTTTGAAATGTCATGTATCGCGTCATCCTGAACAAATGTCTCAAAGATCACATACAATTGAACCACCTCCCTTTTCCATTGTGGTTGGAAGAATTAGACGCAATTAAGTTTAATAGCAGGTAGGCCGACGAATCTGTTAACCGGCTACGACTTAAAAAGAGCGATGACAGTGACAGCTCCTAGTGTATTTTTCTATATAAGGGAGACTGCTATAGTCAAAATCACAAAAGATGACTATTACGTCATCATAAATTGTACTGAAGTAATCAATGGACGTAGATCGATGAAAAAAACACGATGTCAGGAACATAATGACAACAACACACATACACACACACACACACACTGATTATTTTTATTTTCATTTTATTTCATGGTTTTGAGTGATACCTTAATAATAATTTCAGTGGGGAGTTTTTGTTTTGAAAAAAAAAATGAGTAGAATACCTTAAGACAGGGTCACCAAAGACCAAAATATTATTCGAAAACAACCTAACCTGCTTTAACATAACCCAACTTATCATCTTTCCAATATGATCGATCATGCAACATGAAAACATCGTCTATCTTTGTTGGATACATGCAAATTAGCAATACAGTTTGTTTAGACAATAAAATTCTGTTTGTCTCTGTCTAACATATCAGAAACTTCATCAAAAATATTCACAAATCGCTGTCGTTAGTCTTTACTACAGACTAAAGTGATAACGTAATCGTCATCTTTCGTGATTTCGACTATACATGCGCAGCCCCACATTGATCGAATACATTGTTGTGAGAGGACATTTTTAGGTTAATCGTCACTTGTTGCAATCTACAAACAGTTCATTACTAAGTACTGTACAAGCATTTCCTGTTTAGTTTTCCACTGCATTATATACTTTTTGTTGGTCGTTTCTCATATTTCATAGTTAATCGCGTTATGTTTTTGGTCTCTCGTTTTTCGTTTTCGTTTTCCATTTTCTGTTTTGATTTTTCATACTGTTTTAATTTCGTTATTTTTAGCATTACGTGTAAAGTTTTAATTTTGAGTTGTGCAGCTTGCATTTTATACTATAGCAGCGAGCATGGCGCAGCGCATGCCATGTTAAGTGTGTAAATCCAAAAGTGGAGGTTGCTATGAGGTACCGTGAAGAGCTGAACCACTCTGTTTTTGTGATAAACGATATATCACGGGTTTATTTTAACTGCGATTTATTACTTACACGGGACGGAGCGGCCTTGCAAAATCCCGAAAGTCTCAGGTTGGATATCCTTAGACAAAAATCCTCTGAAACATGTATGTTATATCATTTAAATTCAACTTTACTTTTAAAAAAATTTTATTTGAGGACAGTAGCTACTGTCCGTTACAAATTACAAGAGTCTCCCTCGGACCACAACTAGGATGACCTACTCGATTACCTCGCCGAACATCAATCACCCCGCTTCAGAGGTAGTTCTACTCGGTGATTTCAATGCCCATAATGAGCTTTGGTTGGGCTCAAACAAGACCGATGCAGCAGGTCGTGCAGTCGAAGCGTTCGCTCTTACTCAAGGGCTGACCAGCTGAGCCCTACTTTTTCCCCACGTCTCGTCACACGCCAGTCGCCTGCTGGATCTCTCGTTCTGACCACGCATCCTGTCCCTACAGCACTGCTGTCCTGTCCCCCTGGGTAACTCAGACCACGGTGTTGTGGAGGTTAGGTTTCGGTCAGAACCCGCTGTGGCAGCAGAAACTCGTACAGGCCGCAAACTTGGCATTACGGACATGCCGACTGGGAGGGGCTCAGAGACTTCTTCTCTAGCTTTCTTGGAGAGATGTCTGTTTCACTGACGCGGATGCGTCGCTGTCTGTTCTTCGATAACCGAAATTATCCACGTCGGAATGGGGATACATCCCTCACACAGTAAAGTGCCTAAACCAGGGTCCAACGGCTGGTTTAACAAATCTTGTGACGCTGCTCGCCAGCAGAAGATCAAGGCCACACAGAACCTCTTACAAAACCCCACTGTAGAGAACAGAAGCCGACGTCGAGTCGAGTCCAGAAACAAATATAACGAAGTGGTTCGCAATGCCAAAAACCAGCACGATATAAAAGTTAGGCACAGGGATGTGCAGCGCAATGGCAGTCGGTCTTTCTGGACGCTAGCCAAGCAGATTGAAAAGAACTTCTCACACAGTAGCCTTCCACCACTTGCGTGTCAGGATGGAACGATTGTATCGACTCAAAGGCCAAGGCGGAAGTACTTGCCAAGATCTTTGCTGCCAACTCCACCATGGACGCCCCCCCGACGCCCAAGTGCCGTCAATCAAAGGGTTCCCTACACTATGCAGGAGGTAACATTCAGGCACAAGACCGTAAGACGGTGCTCTTGTGGCTCGCCATTAACAAAGCTTCTGATCCGGACTTGATGCCTGCCATTGAACTGAAGAGGTGTGCAGCGGAGCTTGCCCAGTTCCTTCGCGTCTCTTCCAGATATCTTATGAATCCGACACCTTCCCAGAAAACTGGAAATTTGCTCATGTCCAACCCATCCCAAAAAAAGGATCTAACCGACCCTACAACTAGAGGTCTATAGCTCTGCTTTCTGTTATAAGTAAGGTGATGGAGAGGTGGATGAATCGCGAGCTTCTGGACTACCTCGAAAGTCACAGCTTGATTAGCGACAGGCAGTATGGTTTCGGCACCAACGATCCACAGGGGATCTCCTAGCCTACGTCAGGCAATTGTGGAGTAAACTCATCCAGTTATGGTGTGGCTCATGTCGTTACTCTTGACATCATGAAGGATTCGATCAGCTGTGGCACGCTGCCCTCTTAAGCAAACTTCCATCCTATAGCCTTCCAGAAAAGCTTTGCAGATGGGTGGCTGACTTTATCTCTGGCCGCAAGATATCCGTCGTAATTGACTGGTTCTCCTCTTCATCCCACAAGGTCAACGCGGGTGTTCCCTAGGGATCGGTCTTGGCACCAACACTGTTTCTCTTACATATCAACGACCTCCTTTCCTGCACGAACAACCCAATCCGCAGCTTCGCTGATGACAGTACTCTACATGCAGGAATTCAGAGTGACAAGCGGATCTCTGCCGCTGTGCTGGAAAGAAGAAGACTTGCGACGACTTCCTCTCTGACAAGAGACCTGGAGGCTATCACTGCTTGGGGACGCAACAATCTTGCACAGTTCAACGCTTCCAAATCACAATACTGTACTTTGACGAACAAAAAGCGTCCTAGCGCTCATCCGGTTTCGATGGATGGCCGAGTTCTGCCAAAGAGCCATTCCTTTCGGCTAGTCGGAGTCCATATCATCGAGGACCTGATCTGGCACGAACACATCTCCAATAGCAGCAGCTGCTGGGAAAAAGCTAGGCTATTTGTTTAGGGCTAAGAAGTACTTTTCTCCGCATGACCGTCTCACTCTATACAAGGCCCAGATAAGGCCTAGCCTCGAGTATTGCTCACACGTTTGGGGTGCTGCCGCCCCGACTACATTACCCATGCTGGATGCTGTCCAGAGGAGGGCGGTCCGACTGATCGATGACTGTTCTCTAACAGACAGTCTCGAGACCCTTTCGCACCAGCGAGCCGTCGGCGATCTAGCTCTTTTCTACGGCTACACCAACGGGATTTGCTCCTCAGAGCTCTCTTCCATGATGCCGACACGCGACATTGTCTGTAGGTTAGATGTAGACGTCCTCTCGTCAAACAGCCATCTGGTTTTTGTGAATCACACGGTTTCCCCAGGTTGATTCCCAAAACTTTTCATGGCTTCTGGTGTGGGGACCTTATTTTCTTGCAGGGTTTCAATCTCGTGATCTTCAGACTCTAAATTCTTATAAAAGCTCCTTTCACTCCTGCTAAACTGACTATTATGTTGACGTCTTGTGTTGCTTTCCTTATACCATCGGAGTTTTTTAGCCATAGCCTTGAGTTTTTGTTTAAGGTGATCCAGTATTTCTGTTGCTGTTGGATTTTCGAGGCTTTGTTCCCTTTCAAGAATGGCTTTGGCTTTCTTAGTGACTGAGCTGCTGGGGTTCAAGCTTTGATTTTGTGTCAGAATTCCTATGTCCCGCCTGATACTATCGATTTTATTAGTAATTCGGCGGTGCCATGCTGGCGTGACTGGGACATTTTTAACTTGAGTGTCCGTGGAGATTTTCTGTTTGTTTAGTGTTAGCACCGCTGCTGCTCTACTATAAATAAGGCTGTGTAGATTTTCGATGGGTATACCAGTTGTTATTTTGGAATCCAGAATTTTGTTGATTTCACCCAATATAGATTTTGCCTTGTTATTATAAATTATTTTGGGAAGTCTAGGTTTCATCATAGGGTCCATTCCATCATAAAGCAAATGAACCCTTTCGAATTCCAGCTCAGCAGCAGATGGTGGTCTGTTGGCTTCCGGTACTGAGGCCGCTGGTTCATCGTCAGCAGGTAAATTTATAGATAGTTCTATCGCAACTTCGCGCTTTATTTGTGTAACAATACCTGGTGTTAGGCGTCTATTTATAAATATAGATCTTCGCTGGTCTATGATATTTTGTATAGTCTTGTGACGAAGCATTGGAAATTTTTCAATTACCAGTCTATGTAGTTCTCGGCTGTATGGAGTTTTGGCGGTTTCTAGTCGGGTTAATCTGTAATAGCAGCGAACCATGAATGCATTGATGTCTTCTGTCACCTGGTTCTTTGCCTAACTGTGCCTTGTGACGTGGTGGGCATGGGCTCTGATGGCCCAGCAACACCGACATCTTGGCTTGGTACGTTTGGTGTGGTGGTGTATTCGACTGGTTGGTAATCTGGTTGGTCATTGTTCATTGCCGCGGTAGGTTGCAGGTAAATCTTCAGACGGTTCCGACCCGGCTTCTGCTGCGCCGGCCCGCCTGAGTCTCTCTTATTTCTCGTTTTAAGAGCATTTAAATATACACGTTCTAGGGGGTGCTAACCCCATAGAGCGTGGTAATAGTTTTGGCCATCCAGGGTATTTTATTTCCCCGGTACCCTCCATATTCTGGAGAGCGTTTCCCAATGCGCACAGGGAGGCGCCCGATGGGAGACTAGCAACTCCACACGGGTATTAGTATTATTATTATATTATTATTATTATTATTATTATTCTTATTATTATTATTATATTATTATTATTATTATATTATATTATTATTAGATTATTATTATATTATTATTATTTCTCCCTTCGCATTCCCTTTCCTCGGAAGAGATCACTTTTCCTACGGAGAGCAAACCATACTCCTAGTCTATTATTATTTTATTATTCGGTATCTCACAGACTCCCACGGTTGTGCACTCGCGTTAGGGAATTAATTCGCTTTATACCATGCGAAAAATGCCTTTACAATAGGCAGGTCAGTAATAAGGATGCTTTGCATGCTATTAATAACGTTGTCAATCTAATTAATTTATTTAAGTAGAGAGTCTATTTAAACCACCCTTTCATAGATACTACCCACGGTATGATTTTTATTTCTTGTGTTCCAGGCACATTTTAATGAATAGCTAAATTCCTGTATTGATCATATGATGATATTCTATTGCGGCAAGATTAAACACACGAGATAGCTATATCTATACTAGTGACATATAAATCCGAACCCCCAGTTTAAATGGTTTTATTTTAATGAAATTTTGTATAAGCTACTTAATGAAGCATAATAAGTAATGATGAAATTTCAAAATGATTGCACTGCTTTAAAGCCCTTTGACCTTAATAATGTGTGGATGCACCCTGATGTGCTACGCATTCTCCAACGCGCCTAGGCATGCTTCTGATCAGGTGGTCAATGTCCTCCTGTGGTATCTCATTCCAGGCAACCACCAACTCCTCTCGAAGTGCTTCTAGAGTCTGAGGAGGACGTTGCAAATTGAGCAATCTCCTACCCATCATATCCCACACGTGCTCAATTGGGGATAAGTCGGGAGATCTTGGTGGCCATGGTAACAATGTGACATCATTATGTTGAAGAAGTCTATTGTGACTCTTGCAACACGTGGTCGGGCATTATCTTGTTGGAAGTTGGATCTGCCAGGGTGTCAAGATAGGGTAAAAGAAGGGGTTCTAGACTTCGTGGATATAACGCTGCGCGTTCATGTTACCTTGATGAGATAAAGGTGACCTGGTGCCATAAGCTATAGCACCCCAAACCATAACTCCAACGAATGAGAAGTTTTGGCTTGTTTTCATACCGGCCACACTGGGTCCTCCCTTTAACTCGAGAACACCGACGTAATCGCCTTGAGTGGTGCAGACAACGGTCACTCTGGGATCAGGAATGGAACAGTATTGTCTTTAGTGACGAATCTCGATTTGTTTAGGCATGCACGATGGTCGTGCCAGGGTTAGAAGGCGACGTGGTGAAAGGAGGAATCCACAGTTTTTGTTGAAAGACATGTTCATCACACTGTTGGAGTTATGGTTTGTGGTGCTATAGCTTATGGTTCCAGGTCACCTTTAATCTTCATCAGAGGTAACATGAACGCGCAACGTTATATCCACGAAGTTCTAGAACCCCATCTTTTACCCTATCTTAAAACCCTGGCAGATCCAACTTTCCAACAAGATAATGCCCGACCACATGTTGCAAGAGTCACAATAGACTTCTTTCAACATAATGATGTCACATTGTTACCATGGCCACCAAGATCTCCCGACTTATCCCCAATTAAGCACGTGTGGGATATGATGGGTAGGAGATTGCTCAATTTGCAACGTCCTCCTCAGACTCTAGAAGCACTTCGAGAGCAGTTGGTGGTTGCCTGGAATGAGATACCACAGGAGGACACTTGACGACCTGATCAGAAGCATGCCTAGGCGCGTTGGAGAATGCGTAGCACATCAGGGTGCATCCACACATTATTAAAGGTCACAGGGCTTTAAAGCAGTGCAATCATTTTGAAATTTTTATCATTTACTTATTATGCTTCATTAAGTACTTATACAAAGTTTTATTAAAATAAAACCATTTGAACTGGCTGTTCTGATTTATATGTCACTTAGTATACAACGTAGCCTTATTGATGTTTTTGTCTACCAGCACTATATCTGGCCTGTTAAAATCTACGCATTTGTTTAAGATAATTGGAGTGATTATTGCTGTGTCTAGTGTTCTAAAGTCCCGAAAACTGCAGTTGTCCTCTGAAGAAGTCGAACAGCTATTTGTCGAAGTGAAATTTTGCAAGAAAACCATCATTTTTGGAGCTGTCTATGTTCCACTAAATTCTTCATCAGTTAAATATGACATCCATTGTTTATCTCTTCTTGAAATTTCTGAAATTTGTCCGGAGGTAACTCGGAATAATGATGATGATTATTTTGTCCATTGCCCTGAGAATTCAGCGGCACGTAGATTGGCAGAAACATTCTCAATATATCACAACTCAATAATGTTCCGAATGAGCGTAATGTGTTTCTAGATTTACTGTTTTCTAGTTTGGTTTATATCAATGTGTTACCAGCTTATGATATTTTACTGCCAGAGAGCCTATACCTTTACAATTTTAGCAAAGTGTAGTCAATCTGATTTTGATGATAGCGGATAAAATTCCTGTTACCCTAAATGGTTCAGCCCTGAACTTAAAGATCTAGTCTGTCGAACAAGATCGCCCATAAGATTTTTATAGAAACAATCCAATATGAGGACTATGTGACTTTCTCAGGGTTACGCTCTTTATGTAAAGAAGAACATAAGCGATGTCATGCAATTCATATTGATCGAGTTCAGGAATCATTGGTAGCCGATCCACAGCGCTTTTGGGGTTACGTAAAGAGTTTAAGAAATTTAAGTAGCTTACCTAATAGTATGCACTTAGAGGGAGTTAGAGTGCAAGATGCCAAGACAATAAGTAATTTGTTTGCAAAGCACTTTAGCGGTGTATATGATCGTTCTGTACATCCTGTAACCTCTTTTTTATTTGAGAAGACAGGACTACTAAACAAAATTTCTCTTGGAGAAGTATGTGATAAAATCGTAAGTCTCCCAGTGAGGTTCAGCTCGGGTCCTGACCAAATTCTAGAGGTTTTTGTCAAACAATGTATCTTTACACTTACTTTTCCTGACACTTGGAAGCAGAGTTATATTAAGCCAATTTTTAAGTCAGAAGATGTTGAAGATATTAGCAATTACAGAGGTGTATGTACCCAATCATCAATTCCGAAACTTTTTGATAGCTTGATATATGATCAACTTAACTGGTATTGCCGTGATCTTGTAAGTAGCAATTTGGGTTTACTAAGGGTAGATCAACTATGGAGAATTTGGTGTCTTATAAAGTTGAAAGGGTCACCTGGTGGATGCAATCTACACAGGCTTTTCCAAAGCCTTCGACAGAGTGAACTTCGAGATTCTGTTGG